CATGGTTGCTGCCACTGCCCGCATTGCAATCACATGACTGTGGGGGGCGGGGGCTGAGACGGTTGGAACTTCAGGCACTGGTTGTAAGTCACTTTTTAGCGCCATCGAAACTTCGAACGGTTGCTAAACAAACAGTCATTAAGCGAGGACTACCTGTATCAATACAGTATAGTCCTGTATAGTCGCTACCTGTACCTTTATCCTCACTACCGCAGTGGCTCCCAGTCACATGCAAGGAAGTTAAAAAATCTCATTAACCAGAGTAAGTGTGGCAAAGCTTCCAGGAGTGATTGTATCCCCTCTGAGCTAATTAAATCCAATTTGGATCGGTAGGCCCTTGTACTGGCCTCTCTCTTTTCATACATTAACCAAACAGCTAAGATTCCAGAGGACTGGAGGGTAACTATAATTGTACCCTGATATAAAAAGGGCGATAGGAATGACCTGGCTAATTATAGGCCAATTTGTTTATTGAATATCATTAGCAAACTGATGCCAGGTATTTATTCACCAAACTCCAAACCTGGGTAATAAATGAGGGAATAATTGACCCTGAACAAGCAGAGTTTCAACTGGGACAATCCACTATAGCCACTGCATCTGGCAGACAAATATACAAACCACTCTGATTTAAACCTATATGCAGCCTTTATTGATTTCAAGGCAGCATTTGATAATATCTCACGGGTTAGACTCTGGGACATTCTGAGCAGATCTTCTATAGACAAAAGACTCTTCCTCCTAATTCACAAATTATACAATAAAACTGGCCTTAGAGTGAGATGTAACCAGGAGGGGATCTTTCTGACTTTATCCAAACTGTCAAGGGGGTGAAACAAGGATTATTTTTAGCACCATTGCTTTTTAACATATATATCAACTCTCTTATTAAAACCCTCCAGAGAGTTGATATTCATGTGCCTAAATTAACTGATAGACATCTCCCAATCATACTCTACACTGATAATGCAGTTCCTCTCTCCCTGTCTTCTGTAGGTATGAAGTGGGTACTAAGAATCCTGGCATCCTACTATAATGAGGAACAATTAGTTATCAACTATGATAAGTTTTAGTTTTTTCCAACAAAAGACAAAGGCACTAGCGGACAATTGATTCCCATGAATTAGAGCAAGTCATATGTTTTAAATACTTGGGTATAGTATTTCGGGCTTCTAGGAAATCAACAGCCCAGGTAAATTATGCCACTTCTACTGCCCAAAAGAGCACACTAGCAACATGGGGCAAATTACATTCCAGCGGCAATCAAATTGTTTATGTCTAAAACAGTTGCCCAACTATTATATGGGATACAACCTGGCCCATATACAAACATTCAATCAAATTTCCTTAGGATTTTGTTTGGTACTCCAAAATGCACCCCTAATGCAGTCTTGAGGCTTGAAGCCAACATGCCAAGCATTAAGGCCCAGGCCTAGCCCAGGATTCTAATCTCAGGGCTCAGAATCACGTTTGACCCTACAGGCCTGTTGCCTCTGCTACTGTCAGACAGTTACCGATCTCATTGGCACTGTACCTGTATAGAAGAACTTTGCAGTCTTGGCCCCTCTCCTGAATATTTAGGCCAGTTAGCCCTTGAGAAGGCCAAATCAATAGTAAAAGAATTAGGGATATTGACTGCCAAAATGGTATCTCCAGTGCTCCTGAATTCCATTGCTAAATGTTAGATAGCTGCAAGACCTCTACTGCAGGGTATCTGCACAATCTAACCCTAAGCAAATATAGATGGGCCTTTTCTAGAGCCCACTTTAACGCCTTTCTGCTGGCAGGAAGATTCCATGGGACTCCTTATTTGCAGAGACTTTGCCCTTGTGGATCCAGGGAGGTAGAAACTCTTGCCCATGTCCTCATACGGTGTTCTTTTTATGATGTCCCAAGATATACTCTAATCTCCCCAATGATGTCTAAATTTGAGGGTCATACTGATAAATTTTATGTTTATTGCTTTTTAAGGGATGCTAACTCTACACTCATATACCAGGTGGCCAAATATCTTCATCAAGTCATACAACTGCACAAAACTTTTAATTAGCTATGTTGTTTTATTGTCTTAATGGGTTTTTCCCCCGATAATGAATTGCTGTACCAAACTATTTCTCTTTTCCTACTGTAAAGGCTGTCAAAGATGGTAATAAAGAATTTGAATTTGGATACAGGGTTGCCTGACAGGTTCCACACATAAAAAAAACACAGAGGGTAGAAGTTCAACAGTGGTTCATCAGCATATGTGATGAAAAATTTCATAATCATATTTCATTATGAAGCACAGGTGAAATACTAATGGTATTAGGATGCATTCAATTTGTTTTTCAAGAATCTTGTTTTCTTATTTATTTATTAAAAACAACACTGTTCCTCTTCTATATTTTATTTTTTGAAATAAGGCATTTTTAAAAGAAGGCATTCCCCACTCCAAAATAAAGTGAAATCAGAAAAGAGCAGACAATATAAAAAAACATATATTTAGAAGGGAAAAATAAAAATGTTTCTCAGGCAAAATAAAATAGTGAAACCTATTGCTAACCTCTGTACACAAGATCTCTTTTCAGAACACAAATTTGGAAATTAATTACCTATTTTTCATCAACCTTATTTCTCGTTTCAGTTGGGGATCGTCTGTTTTGGTTGACTGAGATGTCAAGGACACAGGCGTTGTCATCACAACTGTTTGTGGAAGGGAAGTGGTGGTTGGTGTCCTGCGTAACTGGTAGGTCTGCATATCCCCAGATGCAGCTGTTAAGAAACCAGAGTAGAGGATACTGTAAAGCAGGAATTCTTAAACTCTGCAATACTGCAACTCCCACCCTCCAAAAAAAAACCCCCTAATGATCCCAATGGGATCAGGGTTGGGCAAGAAATAAATATACCACTTGCTTTTTTTAGTAGTAGTTTTTGAGAATAAAGGCAAATACAGACAATGATGGACTCCTATATTGATTTTTCAATGGGATTTGGAATAGGATATGGAAGTCTGAGTGATTTTATTTTTGCACACCCTTTCTGCAATAAATTTCATTCACTACAGTCAGGGAAAAGTATAAAATGATATTTCCTTCATCTGGGCTGCTATGGGCACCAGACAGAGCACTGGCCCTTGCCTTAAATCAGCTTCTCTTAAAATGCTGCAACTAGTAGAACACTTGGGAGGCTGTAAGTTATTTTTGGCAGTCTCTCTGCTGCCTCAGGGTGGCTCCTGGCCATCCTTGAGTTCCACATTGCTGGAGCTCTTCTTGGAAGGAAAGAGTCCCAGCACACAATCACAGTGCTTATCACTGTGAGGTCTGTTTCATTTAACTTCTCTGACTTTCTCTTCTATTATTATTGCTGCTGCTTTTTCCCCCCAGCCTAGAAGAAGCCAAGAGAAGAAAATCCCTGCCTCTTCTTCAGAAGGCAGGGCTAGGTTTGAAGGGAGGGTTTTCCTTCATCAGAGGGAGGATTTAACCCTTTCCTGTCAACTCTACCTTCAGGTGTCCTAAGAAAAGGAAAAGAAAAGAAAAAGCTAGCCTGGGTAGTCCTGGCCATGAGGATGGCTGGCAGAGCCAGCAGGCTCATGCCTTCACTAGAACAAAGCAGGGCCAAAATTGGGGAAAGTGCTGGATCCCCTACGACAAAGTAGCATCAGAACAATTCTAAGCCCTTTCCCAGAGCTACTGGGAGGGAAATATCCACTACAGGTTGCCCTTGTTTCACTGTAGGAAAACAGCTTAGTTGCCAATACTAAACATTATGATCAATTTCAACCAATAAATTATGGAGGGAATTTGGGAGTTGCACTAAAAGCCTTAAGTGTACTGGAACTTCCCCAATCTTGCCACAGATGGGAGTGTAATGAATTGGTACTAATGTAAAATAACAGTATTAGGTAGGAAAAGAGATTAACATTTTGAATTATTAAAAGTGGATACCTACTTTGCACTACTACCTGGTTACTTGGTACAAGTATTTGCTGGCCGTCAGATGTCTGCACATACTGTAATAGTGGAGTCCCAGCAGCATTTGTAAATGTCGGCAAGCCCTGCACACTCTCCGCACCTGGACTACTCAACTGTAAAGGTCCATTTGGGGCAATGGCAACTTTGGAACAAGAAAGAATGAAACAGAAAAGATGCTGAGCACTGCACAGTACAAGATACACAGCAGGCAATGTTTCTTCTCCTTTGGGCTGTCCCACAGGAATATTCTACTAAATACAGTCTCTTGCCTCTAAATAAATAATAAAAATCTTGACAAGCACATTTGATAACATTCCTCCATTTTCTCAACGCTGGCTTGCTGGACTACATACTTTGAATGAATAAATATTTAGCATGAGATAAATATAATTTTTATCTCATGCTAAATAATTACTGAATTTTTAAAAATTCCAAAATTATTATTCTGTTTTCCTGATAATTAATAATTCTGGAAGGGATCGTAATTCTGAATTATAATCCTGGGTGTTAGCAACCTACCCAGTGCAGGAGTTTATTGATAATACATACTATATTGACCAGTGCTGGTCTGATAAACAGGTGTAGTGACAGGCACTGAAGTGACAGCAGGATTTGACTCATCTCCTTTCCTTTCCCTTGTGTCTTCAGAAGAAAGATCGTTCAAGATTTTTCTATAAAAAAGCAACACAGTGTATCAGATGTATACTGCTGGGGGGAAAGATCATGTTGAAAAAGTGGGTACGTTATTATTACATTGATTATTTCAATATGCATAATTCTAGGCACAGTTTGGCTTTTTTTTCAAATTCAAGAGAAACAGAGTCCAATATTTTGTGGCCTTAGAAAACCAAAAACCCTTCATTAAAATAATTGTCTGCTATTGATGCATATTTTTGAATTCTTTTGCCTTGAATATTTTATAGAAAGGTACAATAAACACATTCACATTTTAAAAATACATACAAATAATAAAAAATAATCATGTTTTTAACAACAAAAATAAGCTAAAAGAAGAGTAGATAGAAGATTGTAGGTGGATATTCTGTAAAAGATGGTTAGCATTTGTTTGGGAAGCTGTGCTAAAATTTAGGTGCCATGCCTGAAAATATCCTATCAGATAGTCATTTGTTGGTAGTACGAAAGTCCAAACAGCCTCAAAAGCAGATTGAAATTCTTGCACAAGCTCATAGGCTGAGTTGGAATTTGTGAGATACTGCTGTACGTTGCTGTTGTTGCATACACCCCATCTTCTCTCAGAGAGCTCAAAGAGCAACCATGGGGGAGGGCATGGCTCCCTTAAGTTTATCCCCACAATAGTCCTGAGCCAGGTAAAGCTCAAAGAGAGAAGGGCTTGCCAAAACTCACCCAGTGGGCTGCACTATAGAATGGGCACAGGAAGCTGGGTCTCCCTGATACACGTTCAACAATTTACTATACTATACTGGCTCCCTGAGATTCAGATTACAGACACAAAAGAAATGGGCAATCTGTGGCTGTTGGCTCCAGAAAGTACAGGATCCTTCACCATTTAACCAGAAGATCAGCTAGCAATCTATGTGGCTCTCAAACCTGAAAATATTCCCCTCACATGATTTAGATCTTCATAGAAGAAAATCCAACATTTGGAATTAGTGTCTGGCTCCAAACATGATTTTTGATATTTTGAACCAACAGAAGCTGCTGAAAAGTCTGCAAGGGCAGTATCATACACAGCACATTACTGTAGTCTAAGCGGGAGGTGATTACATCAAAAATGACTAAGACAGGTCTGGGTTTGTTTTTTACAAGAAAGGGCATAATAGGCACATAAGATAACACTGATAACTATCATTCCCAGTCACTGCAGTTATAGGGCCAGCTGGAGGAAAAGATCCAGGAATAACTACGAGTGGGAAGAAATCCAGAACAGAATCCCACCCTCCTCTTGATTATCTGTTTGTTTCTTTTCAATCACAAATACATATTCAAAACAAGATTTAGAAAATGGAACAAGAGTTAAGAGTGGTCTTTTTTTTTTTCCTTTTTATAATATCTAAGCCAGAATCTCATATGACTTTCTTAGAGGTTTTAGTGTAGATGCTGAAGGCACGGAGACAAAATCTAACTCC